TCTTCCCTGACGGTCTAACCCACGGCGTATTCTCACCTGATAACCTCCCGCCTCCTCCGAACAAAGGGTTTATCGCCCCCAGCTCCTCTCCAGCCCTCTGGGAGCTCACAGCCATTTTTTCCTCCGCGTGTTTTGTTTCCACTTCGCGCAGCTTGCCCTCTAACGCAGACCAACTTTCCTCCGCGGGCTTTCCACGGCCGTTTTGAATCTTCAAACATCTGCGTTCACACCCGCTCTCCCGGATCCCCGAACGCTCTAAAATCTGCGCACCCCCCTTTCTCTGTCATTTCTTCCTGCGAGTCCCAAACAGCCCCGGGGTGGGAGAGGTGGCACACGGGCACCTCTGCGACCGTAGCGAGTCCCTGTCACAACTTCCCGGCCTCGGTGGTCCGGCGGATTGGCGCTCTAAGTCCCCTCACCGTGCATTTCCCTGCCAGTGCCTCTTCCAGTTTGGATTTCTCATTTCTCCAACCAGGCTGCAACTATCCCCTTCGATCCCCGCTCATCACTGCCCTGGCAAAACGTTCTGGTGCAAACCCTGCCTCCCCCTCCTCAACATTTTGTACCCATCCACGTGTTGAACCTCCGCTAAAACCCACGGAAAGACCCTTTATTCGCTGCTTGAGATGGCAGCCGCAGGGATTTAGGAACGGTCCCAGCCCTCTGTTCCCTGCAGGGACTCTCCGGCGCTGTACCCGGCCACGCTGGTCGCATCCTCCACCTCCGCTCAATCTACACGCAGCGGCCGGCAGCACGTCCACGCCGACCGCTCCGTCGCCTCGCTAACGACAGCCGACACCGCTTATGGTGCTCTCCCCCAGAAAAGGGGGTTCTGCTCCCCCAACCCCGTGGCCGGACGTGCCGCTCACCTGATTGAACTCCTCGTCGGCGTAGATATCGATCAGATCCACCCCCTCGGACATATTTCCAGAGACGGGAGCAGGAGCCCAGGCTGGGACCGGGGCGAAGCAGGCAGACGATAGGTGCTCTGTAGTGGGGTGAGGGGGGAAAAAGGGGGTCAGCGAGGCGCTGGGGAGCCACTGTGCCTGTCCCCCGTGCCCCCCCCACCTCCCCCTACAGGACTGTGGCCACTAGCCACCCCCCCAGAGGGGCCCACAACCCCACCCCAGGCACCCACCCACTG